CCGTCCTTACGGCAAACATTTTGGAAAATATCAGCGTTTCGTGTTCGTTTTGACTTCGTGTGGACGGGGCCTGAGTAGAATGGAATCATCTGATGCAGAGTTTCAGAACCAGGGTGGGTCAGACTGGAACGGACCTCAATCAGCCGCTTTGACTGACTGGATTGAATCGGCTGATTTTCCCAGGATGCTCGGGACCGATCCTGGATCCTTCCTGTCGGGATCCAGAGGGCCTCGGGGCGAGCCGATTGGCGAGCCGCGCTCCCGTTGAACAGATCTACGCAGTCGCCGCCCGTTTTCTCAAAGCTTTATTTATTCACAGGCCTCCTGTAGCAGGAAGACACATTTACACCTGCGGCCGGCCTGCTCGGCGCCGCTGACGTTAAATAAATCAACAATTCAGGACAGAAAACAGCAAACACACACAAAGGTCAACTGAAGGTCACAGGAACAACACCATGACGACGGTCAGAGTAATGGGGGCCAGGCAGCTGGTCCAGGGTCGGTCCTCTGGGTCTGCAGAACTCTACAGGTGCTGCACTGGAACACGCAGAGAAGACGTTAGGTTTAATGTTTCAGCTCCCCCTGGTTTGGCACTCTGCTGCAGGAGCCGCCGCGCTCTGGGAGGCGTGCATCTCCAGGCTGCGGCGGAGCGACCAGGCTTCCCTCCATCATGGCTCACAGCACCTCTGCAGGGAGAGAACGGAGAGAAGATGAGGGAGAAGCTAAAGCTGTCCTCCAGGACGCCTCTCAGCCTGGGTGGAGCTCTACCTGCCACATGCTGAGGCTTCATGGCGCCCGACTTCATCAGGTAAGGCTCCGCCCCCTCAAAGGCCAGCAGAGGATCGGCCACCAGCACCCCCTGCTGCTGTGGGCTGCTGGTCATCATGGCCTCTAGATCGCCCATGGCTGAGACGCCGTTCTGATGTGTGCTGGCCTGGACTCCGTTAACGACCAGGGGGCCGGTCTGAGGGGGGCCAGGGGCCACCGGCGCGGGGCCCTGCAGGTTACCAGCAGCTGCAGAGACAAGAGGAGCTCCGTCAGCTTCCTGCTGGGCTCCATCAGCTGGTCGCCATAAACCTGGTCTCTGACGTCACATTTCTATCCTAACAGAACCATCATCCTGGTTCTGTTAGGATGAATTCTGACCCGTTTCCTTTTCTGTCTTTATTCAGTCAGAACCAGCAGAGATTCTAAAGCTTTTCAGGTGGAGATTCCTGCAGCTTTGGCCACAGAATCTAAAGAACCAGGATGAGCAGCATCCTAAAAAAGTTCAAATCAATCCTCTGGACTTTGTTTCCAAGTTTGAAGACGTTTCTCTTCCATCCA